GCTGGCATGGGTATATGACTGCTTTCTTTATTTTTTTTTTTTTCTCTCTTTTTTTTTTTTTTTTTTTTTTTACAGAGTTTCACTCTGTCTCCCAGGCTGGAGTGCAGTGGCCTAATCTGGACTCACTGCAAACTCTACCTCCTGTGTTCAAGCTATTCTCATGCCCCAGCCAACCAAGTAACTGGGATTACAGGTTTGTGATACCATGCCTGGGTAATTTTTGTATTTTTAGTAAAGACAGGGTTTCACCATGTTGGCCAGGCTGGTCTTGAACTCCTGTCCTCAAGTGATTCACCCGCCTTGGCCTCCCAAAGTGCTGGGATTACAGGCCTGAGCCACAGCACTTGGCCTCATAACTGCTTTCTATATCGTCAGTCACCTGACTGATGCATTGAGTTTATCCTGATGCATTCTGTTATCTTTTCTTCCATTGTGACTTCCAAGTAGTGACCTTCAAAGCTGCATTAGTCTGTTCTCACTCTGCTAATAAAGACATACCCAAGACTGGGTAGTTTATAAAGAAAAAAGGTTTAATTGGCTCACAGTTCAGCATGGGTGGGGAGGCCTCAGGAAACTTACAATCATGGTGGAAGGGGAAGCAAACACGTCCTCCTTCACATGGTGGCAGCAAGGAGAAGTGCCAAGCAAAAGGTGAAAAAGCTCCTTATAAAACCATCAGATCTCATGAGAACTCATTATCACAAGAACAGCATGATGGTAACTGTCCTATGATTAAATTACCTCCCACCAATTCGCTCCGATAACATATGAGGATTATGGGAACTAGAATTCAAGATGAGATTTGGGTGGAGACACAGCCAAACCATATCACCAGCTTACATTTGTCTTCTGAGTTGTGCCAATGGTGTCCACTTTCCCAGCTCCTAGACTTTCTAGGTCGTGGCTCTGTCTTTGCTTCATATTTACCTTTCATGTTAGACGACAACCATTTCTAAGCTAGTACATCTCAGATTTGATGTGTATCTAATGTCCTAACAGTAGATGACCTCATGATTAAATCCCAATAAGCAGATACTACTACTTCTAGGTTCAGTATCCTGGGTGCCTTTCTAGGATGTGGAGTCTTTCTTTCCTAGCCTTTCTTTCTGCCTAGGCTTTTCTTTATAATTCCTTATGTCCTTCCTTATGCTTTATGGCTAGGATTGTCCATTGGTTCCCAAATATACTCAAAAATCCCAGTGGCATTTCCTCTGGAACCCAAACCATTTAGGTGGGTCATAACATTTATCAAGCTCCTTCAAGCTGTTTTCTTGATCACATTACCTCTGGTGGTTACCCAACATTATTCTCTAACCTAGAATTTTTTGGAATCAAGATAAGGACTCAAGGAATTGGGGCAAGATGGCCAACTAGAAGCAGCTGTGGTTCATGGCACAGAGAGGCACCCAGATTCATAAGGCAAGTTCTTAGAGACCTTCCAAAAGACTTAGACTCCCACAAAATAATATTGGGAGACTTTAACACCCTACTAACAATATTAGACAGATTGAAGAGACAGAAATTTAACAGAAGTATTCAGGACCTAAACTTAGCTCTGGATTATGTGGACCTGATAAATATCTACAGAACTCTCCACACAAAAACAACAGAATATACATTCTTCTCATCTCCACATGGCACTTACTCTAAAATTGATCACATAATCAAAAGTAAAACATGCCTCAGCAAATGCAAGAAAACTGAAGTAACAACAGTCTCTTGAACCACAGAGCAATCAAATTAGAACTCAAGATTAAGAAATTCACTCAAAACTATATAACTACATGGAAACTGAACAACCTGCTTCTGAATGACTCTTGGGTAAATAATGAAATTAAGGCAGAAATCAATAAGTTATTTTAAACTAATGAGAACAAAGATACAATGTACCAGAATCTCTGGGATGCAGCTAAAGCAGTGTTAAGGGGAAAATTTATAGCACTAAAATGCCCATATAAAAGAGCTACAAAGATTCCAAGTTAGCAACCTAATATCACAACTACAATAACTTGAGAACTAATAGCAAACAAACCCCAAAGCTAGCAGAAGATAAGAAATAATCAAGGTCAGAGTTGAACTCAAGGAGATAGAGACATGAAAAACTCTTCAAAACAAATCAGTGAATCCAGTAAGTAATTTTTTGAAAAGTAATAAAATAGACCATTAACTAGATTAATAAAGAAGAGAGAAGATTCAAATAAACACAATTAGAAATGGTAACAGGGATAACACCATTGACCCCACAGAAATATAAACAACCATCAGAGACTACTATAAACACCTCTATATACATAAACTAGAAAATCTACAAGAAATGGATAAATTCCTGGACAGATACTCCCCTCCAAGACTGTACCAGGAAGAAATTGGATCCCTGAATAGGCCAATAATGAGTTCTGAAATTGAGGCAGTAATACGTAGACGACTAACCAAAACACATCCATAACCAGACAGATTCACAGCTGAATTCTACCAGAGATACAAAGAAGAGCTAGCATCATTCCAACTGAAACTATTTCAAAATATTGAAAAGGAGGGACTCCTCCCTAACTCATTCTATGAGGCCAGCACCATCCTGATACCAAAACCTGGCAAAGATACAACAAAGAAAACTTCAGGCCAATACCTTTGATGAACATTGATGCAAAAATCCTCAAAAAAATACTGGTAAACTGAATCCAGCAGCACATCAAAAAGCTCATCCACCACAATCAAGTAGGCTTCGTCACTGAGATGCAAAGATGGTTCCACATATGCAAATCAATAAATGTGATTCATCACATAAACAGAAAGGCAAAAAAACACAGGATTATCTCAATAGATACAGAAAAGGGCTTCAATAAGATTCAACCTCCCTTCATGTTAAAAATTTCAATAAACTAGGTATTGATGGAACCTATCTCAAAATAATAAGAGCCATATATGACAAACCCACAGTCAATATCATATTGAATGGGCAACACCTGGAAGCATTCCCCTTGAAAACTGGCACAAGGCAAATTTGCCCTCTCTTACCACTCCTACTCAACATAGTATTGGAAGTTCTGGCCAGGGAAATCAGGGAAAGAAACAAAGCATATTCAGATAGGAAGAGAGGAAGTCAAATTATCTTTCTTTGCAGATTACATGATCCTATATCTAGAAAACCCCATTGTCTCAGACCAAAAGTGTCTTAAGCTGATATGCAACTTCAGCAAAGTCTCAGGATACAAAATCAAAGTGCAAAAATCACTAGCATTTCTATCACCAACAGCAGGCAACCCTAGAGGCAAATCATGAATAAACTCCCATTCACAATTGCCACAAAAATTATAAAATAACTAGGAATACAGCAAACAAGGGAAGTTAAGAATGTCTTCAAGGACACCTACAAACCAGCGCTCAAAGATATCAGAGAGGGCACAAACAAATAGAAAAATATTCCTAGCTCATGGATAGAAAGAATAAATATTATAAAAATGGCCATACTTCCCAATGCAATTGATAGAGCCAATGCTATTCCCATTAAACTACCGTTGGCGTTCTTCACAGAATTAGAAAAAGCTATTTTAAAAGTCGTGTGGAACCAAAAAGCTCGAATAGCAAAGACAATCCTAAGCAAAAAGAACAAAGCTGTGTGGGAAAGACAGTTTCTGGGGTTCCAGTTGAGTTGGTCTCCCCTGTGTGAGACACCCATGGGAAGCCATGGGCGGCCTCTGAGGAGAAAAGTCTCCTTATTGCCTTCATGTCTTTATGCCTGGAGATCATAACTGCTCAGCGGCATTCCACAGGTTGCTCAGGGAGATAACACTCGCTTGAAGCAGTGGAGTATAATCAAACATCTTGGAGATCCTCCTGAAACCTCCTCCCACCCATTTCAGTCCCAATAAGTTAAAAATCTTAAGTAGTTTAGACACGCCTTTGCTCAAGGAAATTCACAGAAACCGCCACTGCTATACATCTTACCGAATGACTCACAAGTTCTCCTTCACTGATTAATCCTTTTCCTAGTCCCTTCCTCCCCCTCCCATCTGCCCTAAGAACAAAGAGCTTCTAAACCAATAAATTGCGTGGAGCCCAAGAGTTCTGGGCCGTAAGCAAGCCTCCGATGCCCTGGTCCCCTGGATCCACCTTTTAAAGGCTTATTCTGTTTCTAACTCCTTTGTCTCCGCTGAACTCGGGGTACCCGCTGGGTGGCGTGGGACTGGTTTCCACAACAAGCTGTACCATCCTGGCCAATACGGTGAAACCCCATCTCTATTAAAAATACAAAAATTAGCAGGGCCTGGTGGCACCCTAGCTACTCTGGAGGCTGAGGCAGCAGAATCGCTTGAACCCGGGAGGCTGAACTTGCAGTGAGTCCAGATGGTGCCACTGTACTCCAGCCTGGTGACAGAGCAAGACGCATGTCTCAAAAAAAAACAAAGCTGGAGACATGGAGACCTCACTGTACCTGACTTCAAACTATACTACAAGACGGCAGTAACCAAAACAGCATTGTGCTAGTACAAGAACAAATAGACAAATGTAATGGAATGGGGAACCCACAAATAATACCGTACACCTACAACCACCTGATCTTTGACAATCCCGACAAAAAGAAGCAATGGGGAAAAGATTCCCTGTTTAGTAAATGGTACTGGGAGTACTGGCTAGTCATATGCAGAAAATTGAAACTGGACCTTTTCCTCAGATCATACACAAAAGTCAACTGAATATTGATTAAATATTTAAATATAGAACACATAATTATAAAACCCTTAGAAGAAAACCTAGGCAATACCATTCAGGACATAAGCACAGACAAAGATTTCATGAACAAGATGATAAAAGCAATCCAACAAAAGCAAAAACTGAGAAATGGGATCTAGTTAAACTAAACAACTTCTGCACACACACCAAAAAACAATCAACAGAGTAAACCTACAGAATGAGAGAAAATTTTTACAATCTATACATCTGACAAAGGTCTAATATCCAGCATCTATAAGAAATGTAAACAAATTTACAAGAAATAAACAACTCCATTAAAAAGTGGGCAAAGGACATGAACAGAAACTTCTCAAAAGACATACACGCAGCCAACAAACATGAAATAAAGCTCAACATCACTGACCATCAGAAGTGCGTATCAAAACCACAATGAGATACCATCTCACACCAGTCAGAATGGCTATTACTAAAAAGCCAAAAAACAACAGATGCAATATATACATTGAATCGAATTAAGAAGGAAAATAGTTATTCAAGGTATATTTATTACTTCCTATTGTGTGTTCTATCAAATGGAGAAAAAGGAATGCTTTCACACTGTTGGTGGGATTGTAAATTAGTGCAACCATTGTGGAAGACAGTGTGACAATTCCTCAAAGACCTAAATACAGGAATGCCGTCCGTTCCAGCAATGAGATTGCTGGGTATATACCCAAAATAACATAAACCATTCTGTTTTAAAGATACATGCACACGTATGTTCACTATTCACAATAGCGAAGATATGGACTTAACCTAAATGCCCATCAATGGGCACTGGATAAAAACAGTGGTCCATATACACCATGGAATGCTGCCATAAAAAGAAACCACATTATGTTCTTTGCAGGGACATGGAGCTGGAGACCATTATCCTTAGCAAATTAACACAGGAACAGAAAAACAAATACCGTAAGTTCTTACTTATAAGGGGGAGCTGAATGATGAGAACACACAGATGCCAGGGAGAGCACAACACGCACTGAGGGCTGTCAAAGGGGTGGGTGGGTTGGGAAGAGGAAGAGCACCAGCAAGAATAGCTAAGGAATGCTGGGGTTAATACCTGGTTGATGGGATGATCTGTGCAGCAAACCACCATGGCGCACGTTTACCTATGTAATGAATCTTCACATCCTGCACATGTACCTCTGAAATTAAAATAAAAGTTGGAAATAACTTTTAAAAAAATG